GATGCTGTCATCCTCCCAATGATCACAGACCTGTGCACTTATATTCCTGCAGTTTTGTCCAGCAGCAGTTTCTGTGTCATTAACCAAACACAACTTTGAAATCCTACCACTGCAAGATTGTTGACATCATCCCACAACACTTAATGTTGTTAACATCATGCTACATCAGCTCCCTTATATTTACATAATACAGCTTTAATGTGACTCCTATTGTGTTTTCATCATTGTGTCTTAAATGTAACATTTCAGAACAAGTGGAATATTCAGGAGGTGAAAGACACAGCAGAGTTACTGAAGGCTGAGTTGGAGATTAAAAGTCAGAAGGTTTGTGTTTCCATAAACATTATGTATTTGTTGAATCAACTCTCTTGATTCAGTGCACATCAGTATTTCCTCACCATCATATCGTACAATATACCGTACTTTCTGGACAATAGAGCGCACCTGTATATAAGCCGCATCCACTCTATTTTTAAAATTTAAAAAAAAAAAGATATACAAGCCGCACCCGGCTATAAGCCGCAGATATCTATGATGAAAAATTAGATATTTACTGCATGTACAGAACAATCTTGTACTGTAAATGTACTTGTATGTACCTGAACAGATTCTTTCCGAACAATGCCTTTTAACACGGCAGCAACTTTGCTGATTAAAACGGAACAGAACCAAGAGAAAATAACCGCTATTTATTTACCTTCATTTTTCCTGTATTTGAAACCACAAGTCACTTTAATCATCTTCGCTGAAGCCCATGAAGTCGTCTTCTTCAGTGTCGGAGTTGAACAGGCTCAGAAGCGCTTCATCACATCAGTCTCCATCAATCTCGCTCTCCGTGTCTCTGTCATCCTCCGGTGAAGTTGGCTCTGAAGGTGCGCCGCTCTCTTCGCGCAGCAGTCCAGCCTTTCAGAACCCATTTCACAGCACTCCACGCTGTTAGGATCCACTGACAGACATCAGAAAAGGATGCTTTTTGCATGCGGCCAGTTTTTGTGAATGACTTTTCACCGCTTGTCATCCAAGTCTCCCATTCAACCCGTAGTGCAGCTTTAAATGCCCGATTTACACTGATGTCAAGTAGCTGCAAATACTTTGTTGTACCTCCAGGAATCACAGCTGGAATGGAGTTTGTTTTCTTGATC